AGATGTTAGGTAATATGTTACCTTTGAACTTTACAACCCAACAAGCTACTTATATTAAGGTAAGCGAATATTTTTAGACAATACCACTTACCAAAATTAAGCAATCATCGTTTCAGTTACAACAGATTTAAAAATCTATTGTTCATAATACGCAAGTGTCAAGTCATTACAAAAAGTTTGAGAGACAAAGAGCAGATAGTTTCTAAAAATAGAGAGATTGCATAATATCCTACAGGAAAACAGAAGTGCTAGAACAGCATGACATTTCAATTATTTTTTCTTAGTAGAGCGAACTATGGAAATTAGATCTCTAAGCAAGAATTATAAATCAACATGACGCTGAAAAAAAATAAAATCTGTATCAAACTAACAAAACATCAAAAGTATCAAAGAAAAGGTGACGGTAGAGCAGAAATGAGGCGACGTCGGTGCCGCTTTTGAGCATATTTCTGTGACTTGAACTAACGTATACAGTAAGCCTCAGAGGAGTATCAGTACTCTTGAAATTACAATTTTAGGGAAACAATGTAATTAGATGAAGGAAATTCAGAAAGAATTAAAGGTTATGTATTTACGAATTGCACGCCTTTAATCGGTCACATGGTGAAATCATAATCAATAGGTTTTAGTAAATTTCTTGTTAATTTTGTCCTGAAATGTACAATGATAGGTTTTTGTCTTCAATAACAGCTCACCTAAAACACTATTTGGTTCATAACTTTTTTCAAAGCGATAATGCTCATTAAATTGGTTTCTTGAAAGGATCTCCGCATTAATTATTGACGATGGGAAAAAAATCAAATTCAATACCAGACAATGATTATAAATATGAATAAAATGTGCATCTACGACGCTATTAGTTCAATAAATAATTCTGTTGAAATCAATAGAGCGTATTTTGATAGTATAACACTGTTATGTTTTGCACATTAAAATATCTAAACCTTTACTAGTTGAAATAGACGTAGATGATTTATTTGTTTGTATCCTATGAATACGAACGTTTACGATGTGTTCTAAAGCCAGATAACCTGAGTCATTCATATACACAAGCTTAATCTTATAACAATTAAGTGAAACAAGTATTTAAAGAAAGATTGCAAGTCCACAGGTGTAAAACGACTGAGCACAAACAAAATTGCGAAAATTGATTTTTATCTTTACAATTAACAGACATAAGAACAAATTCAGAAAAAGCTACCACTTTATACAATATCTGTTTAATGACCGTCGAGAACTGATTTATACCTTCTTTGTGCATTAAATCACCAAGACCTTTTGGGTTGTTGTATCATTTACAATAAACCATATTTTTACTTAGCCAAAAGAAAACTGTGCTAGCGTTTTTTTAGTTCTAATTAACATTAGGCACACCATTATTAATCGATAAAATAAATATTTTCCTATAAGGTGTATAACTAAAACATGTTTTTGAAGGTCATTAGTAATCGAAAACACCCGTCAGATACAATTTCACATGACAAACACATATATAAATATTCTTATTTGGAATTATGTCCAGCACAGATTTTACTGGACTCCTGAGGGCACTCATATATATACAGCTATTTTTATACACTAAGAACCTATCAAATAAGCTGCATGAAAATAATAGGATGAAATAAGGTAAAAGAGCTAGAATCGAAAGGACAAAAGTGTGTATGGAGTAACATTAAGCGTTTTTCATTTTGAGATTATTTTCTGTAGTATGATATCTTTCTCTGAAAATCTTTTAACTCGGCACTGTGATTTCGCCTACCTATCGTGTGAACGGAGTCAAGCTAAACTACCTATGTGGTTTGATTTCTGAAGTTCTATTAAATGTGAAAGGTTCATAGGGGTAAAAAACCAATAATCAACTAATATTGTTGCATATATAGCTGAACAGTGAAAAGTTTAAAAATAAATTTACAATGCTAACTGTTTCAGAGAAGAACGTTAGTAAAACACTTTTCCTTGAGTGACAATCGTTTTCAGGGACGGGGATTCGAAAGTGATTAGTCTTAAGGCATACACTACAGCTTTGTGCAACAGATTCATAACAAAACCGATCTACATACACTGGCTATTGATCGGTACTATCCCTTACAGGTTCACGATAAACAGATGATATTAACCGATGGTTAGAGACCTTGAATGACATGGCTCAAAATCGTTTGCAATGGCGAAGGTGCATACACTCTTTGTGTTCTACCAAATTCTAACCTTTTGAATTCTTTATGTCCTTATCCTTTTTCTCTTTCCAAATTTCTTTCACTGGATTATACTCATTCAATAACATCTTCAAACCCTAATCTTTCACATAATGCTTATACTCTTACTACTTCTACCACTATAGGATTTAAATCGACAACTTCATCTCTGTGCTAATTTGGTATGGCAACTCGAACTGATGTACGTACGTACGAAGTTCTACGTTGTGACTGACTCACGATTAACATAACTAATCAGACACTGCTAGCTATTTGTTAACAAACATTGTTAAATGTAAATGTGCTTTACAAGCAAATTCAATTTGTAGAAGACCAGACAACGTAATCGCTGATAATTCATCTTTACATGCGCAAGAACTAAGATGGAGTTTTCCCGTTTTAGGTTTTGGCATGAAAAGAAAGTAGACGAACAGGAGAAGACATATACAGTGGAAGTAGAGTACATATCCAGAAAAAATACTTAATCGTAGTGAACATCTAGGATAGTAATATGTATCTTGTCCTTCGGTCACAAATATACCACTGTTACATAAGTATTAAATCTACCAAAAAAGTCCATAAGAACTTCCTGAATCATTTATGTATTTAGATTACGATGTTACAAATAAATATATAACACTATGTCATATGCAAAAGGGATATTAGTTGTATTGATATTTAGAAGTTATTTGGAATGAATAATGCTCTAATTCATATGAGAAAGCTTTTGACAGTATGGATAGGAAAACCATATGGAACCTTCCTCTACACTATGGTGTACCTAAGAAGATCGTCAACACCATAAGGAATTCATACGATGGACCACACTGCAAAGTGGTGCATGGAGGATAGCTGACAAGCACATTACATGTGAGGACCGGAGTCAGAAAAGGCAACCTAATCCCCCCTTTCTATTTCTTCTGGTGGTTGACCGAATTATAAAGACCTCCACAACTGGGGGGAAGCACAGAATACAATGGACAGTTTCGATGCGACTGGTCGACTTGGACTTCGCAGACGACATAGCTATTCTATCCCACACACACGAACAGCTACAGGTCAAGACAACCAGTGTGGCAAAAGTCTCTACATCAGTAGGCCTCAACATACACAAAGGAGAAAGCAATATCCTGTAATACAACACAGAGAACACCAACCTAACCACGCGTGATAGAGAAACTCTGGATGAGGTGGAAACTTTCAAGTACATAAGCAGCATCATCGGTAAACAAGATGGATCTAATGCAGATGTGAATGCACGAATTGGCAAAGCAACGGTAGCATTCTCACAGCTGAAGAACATATGGAACTCAAAACAACTGTCAACCAATATCAAAGTCAGAATTCCCAATAAGAACGTCAAGATTGTTCTACTATACAGAAATGAAACTTGAAGAACTGCCACGACCGTCATCAAAAATGTCCAAGTATTTACAAACAATTGTTTACACACGATACTTAGTGCCCGTTGGCCGTATATCATCAGCAACAACCTACTGTGGGACAGGACAAATCAGTTCTCAACTGAAGAGGAAATTAGGAAAAGATGTTGGAAGTGATTAGGACACACATTGAGGAAATCATCAAACTGCATCACGAAGCTAGCGCTGACTTGGAATTTTGAAGGGGAACGGAAAAGAGGAATGCCAGATAACACACTGTGTCGGGAATCGGAAGCAGACATGAAAAGGATGAATAGCAACTGGAAAGGATTGCCGGGGACAGAGTTGGGTGGGAAATGCTAGTGAGCGGTCTATGTTCCTCCATGAGGGGTAACAGGCGTAAGTAAGTATGCTCTAATTCAGCATTCAACGAATATAATGATTCAATGACTGACCAAATAAAACTACATAAAAATAATAATTACGGAATACGCTTTGTCTATTAAACAATAGAACTCAAAGCTTCCATCTGGAAGTAGTTCAAACGTTAGTGTCATTTCAGGGAATCATTCATATTATTTACACAACCTCATTTTCTAATAATACGACAACTGAATTACCACTTAGGTTAGGTATTTTATTTGGTTTTGATAGAACTCGGTTGATAGATTTACTCTAGTTACTAGAATATATTTAATTAAACTTCCAGTTTGTGACAGTGGGTAGTATAAGCCTACACCAAAAGCAAATAATGATAAATCCTCGTTATGTGTTCTCGTCTGTATTTTCGAATGAAAAAAGTGCAAATCTTGATACTGAGGTTCTAGGACTTCCGACCTCATTTACCGAGCAATGATTTGCTTCCATAATTTTGTTGGAGAGTAGAAAAAATTATTATTATTACTACTACTATTACTATTAATACATGTTGCGTCTAAAATGTTCATTAGATGTTCTATTAAAAGTACAAAGAATATGCACATGTATTTCAGTTGTTTCATAAAACTAGTTTTAGCCATTGTTTAAGTTAAGGGTGGTAAGACTAGGAAGAAATACCGACTTATGAATAAACTGATTGCGACATGATTCCAAATAGACCACAATGGTTCAAACTCATTCACGTGTTCCCCTTCTCGGTCTTGTCCTTCCGTGATGATATGAATTACAACAATTGGTAAAGATACACTTTTACGGAGAGTTCTACGTTGCTTTATTTGTCTCTCCCTGTCATATGACATGTTCGGAGCTAATCAACACTAAATATACATGAAACGAAATTTAATTATCAGTTCGGATGTTATCATTGGAAAATTTAACCCCGATTCTTAATCACATAAATAAAGGTAAAAAAAACATTGACTAACACTAATAAAAAGTAGTTAAGATTAATACCAAAATTAATATGAATGAAGTGAATACAACTTACTTGACACTGAAGACTTATCCATATCTGATAAAACAGTCTGTGGAGTAGAACGCAGTCTTAAAACAGTGGGACGTCTGAGAGGTGTCGACTTTGAATAGGATTTGCTTCCAGTCTTTTCATTAGAACCGACAGGTTTACCATATTTGGTTTTATTATGATCCCACAATCGCCTAGCCAGACGAGCGAGTTCCAATCCATCAACTTCTTCTACAAGCGGATGTACCATGATACGCTTATCATCTCGATGTATATTTCCTGATGTTTGTTCAGTATTCGGAGGCATGATATAATGGCTGATAGAAGACTAAAAGTGAAAGTAAAACAAAATGGTATTTTGATTAGATTAAGTAACCGGATAGTATAAAAAACCAACACCTATAATGACACAAGTGAACAAGTGGAAATTAGCAAGGTGAAAGTGTGCGTTTGGTGATGACCACATACACACACAAAAAACACCGAAAAATAGTATATCATAAAACTACAAACATATAGTGAGTATTCACAGAACTCAGACAGAAACGTGCTTCTAGCTATTAATATTAGTATTGAGTGTAACCACTAATAATAATTAATTAATTAATAATAACCATGAAATCTGGAAAACAAGACTAATAGTAACACGTGGTTGGTTATGCAATTGAAAAAGATAGAACATTATAGAACTTTCACACATTCATTCAATAATGGTAAACAGCTAGACAAATACAAACTACAATCAGATACAAACATTCCTAATATCAACTTTTCTTTGTAGATGTGAAGCAATGACTTCATGGTTAAATCATACAGCTTAAATCCAGGTTTCACGTTCGAACTCCACTGAACCTACTCCAGTTCGTTTAATCACATAGTGTCACTAGTCCTCACACAAAAAGTGTGGCTTAAAGCATAGTACATAAACCTTTGCTTGGTATGTAGGTTATACTGTGGTGTGGGCTACTTATATCCATACACGTAGTATGTAACGATGATCGGGCATTGAATGCATTTCAGTAGAAGATCGATAAGGAAAGAACGGAAACGAAACGCAATTGGTATGAAAATGCATGAACAATAATAATCGGAGACTATGGACTGATATTTGAAGAACGAATGGTCAAGATTGAGACAATTGATCGATAGTTTGCAAATTAACTGTTTACTGTATGGTTGTCAGATTGTACTAAGATAGTCTGTAATTTTTGTGTCAAACACATTCAATCGTCCCCACTCATCTTCTTGTTCACTATAATACTACCATTACTTCGACTTAAATCTTCTTATAAGAAGAAAATTTTTGAAAAGTTGTGGTGCATATGAATGTACACATTTATTGAGCGAAGAAATTACGCCGTTTGAGTGAGCTTACTTTTTCACCATTTTCTGGACTTGTCACTTTAAGAATATTTACATAAAGTACACAATGACGCATATGAATAGAATTCAAAATTCCTTGAGATAGATTACAGATACTCGTTATAATTTTACTAAGAGACTATACAAGTACTTTTTACTTAATATATTAATAAATCGAAATTCCCTCCACTACTATTTTCTGAGGAATTATTATTTGTAAGTGCATTTGCTTCTGGTCCCACCTTGTCGTTACGTTGTTTTATGGCAATTAAGACTGATAAGTCTTGATGATTGAACGCTATATTCGCATCCTAAGCTAGTCTCGTAACCCCAAGATAAAACTACACAGCGACTTGAACACGAGAGAAAAGGCACAAAATATGCGGGAACCATTTTACTCCAAAGGTTCATGTATGTACAGAAAATATAGGGTTTTCATAGTATTTTAGAAGTCCTTGGGTTTTCCCGAAAATTCTAGAATACTACTAAACATAGTGCTAGTGTAGTAATCAGCCAATCAGAAACTCTACATGTGACTTTTCATTTTCGCGATATTTCTAACAAAACTTCTAATGAAACGCTGATTGGATAAAATGCCTCTCAATGTTTCCTGAGCTTGTCATGTCTATTGCGAGAAATTTTCAGGATCACTTCAACAAAAACAAAGTAAAAAGTACGTGTTGATGTGAATAAAATTCACACTTCACTTAACAAAGATCCCGAATCAAATAAAGTCTACTAGAAAATATAATAGACTCCACAAAGAATGATTGATTTTATTTATTTAATATCTAAAATTGACCGGGTTATGAAAAATATCAGCCATTAAATTTTGACTTAAGGCATCAGCAAAACGAAGCACAATACAAGTTGTAAATCCCATCGGCTCCTGTTAGTGCGTGGTTCAATCTCTGAACCTCTGAATACTTAAGAAACAGGATATTAAAAGACTGTTGATACTTTTTCATTAGCTTACCAACTGAGGGTAATATCACGGAAACTATTTCCAAATCAGTAAATCCACCAATACCAATAAATTGAAAAGTAGCAGATAACTCACTAAATGTTCCTTTGAAAAAAGTCTCACAGTTGACCTTTCGGTTCCCAACTAAAGTCAATCATTAATCAACAGAAACTTGTGAACATTGAATATGATGAGTCTGTCATACTTATACTCAGGACGCGGTGGGTTAATCATTAAGACATTTCAGTCAACCGTTACATTGAAAGCTCCAGCTCTATTTAAGAAGTAGCACACACTTTCACATAAGATGTGGCTGTTAGGTTAAACCACAAATTCTTAATTTATTTAACTCTAAAGAGATGAGAGAGTTTGGATCCTAAGTTAAAGCGAATCCTAGTTTTATTTCACAGATTCGGTGACATGTGAGACGTCCAAATCCAAAGTCTGGTTCAAAGTTAACCACAAGGACATAGATTTGACTAATGGGATTAGATTAAATTTTAGTGAAATTGATAACAAAAACCTTAACAAAATATCCCATAACAATTTCATTAGTATTAGGGTAAACTTACACAAAATTGATACACTAAACAGAAAAAAGTGAACAAAATATGTGCTAAACAACTGACTTCCATGCATCTTAGTATTTTTCTATAACAACTATTATGACAGGGAAATTCTTACCTTGATTTTGTCACTGAAAACATTTTGTTGTGGGTTTCCCTTAACAAAGTAGACAAAGTTTATCAATAAAACTACGAATTAGAAACAAGTTTAACTAACCAAAATTAACCATTGTCATCAACACTAATTCTGCTACTTCTATTGCTATCACTATCCCTTATAACACGAATAAGTAACTTTTATCTCTCAAAAATAACTGACAGAAAACAAAAATAATACAGTGATCCAACTCTAGAATACAGAATTGATCTCTTCTGAACTAATACGAGCTACAAAGTGTGTTTAAGGGTTTAGTATTAATACGTGATATGGAGACAGTGGTGAGGTATAAAAACCTCCAAATATAATCTTCAATTTTGTGAACCTTAGATGGATGAAATAGGCTTTCAAAGAAACGACTATTACCAGGTATGGACGCCTATAAAGGAAATTAACAATTGAATTCTTAAATCGGGTCCAAGCGATCAGAAGAGTTGACCTGCTATTAAAAGCAGTTCTGTAAATGATGGGGAATACAAAATGAAATTACTAAAAACATAGTTCAGTGGGTTTTAGTGCTACTTAGAGTGACTCGACCGATACCATGAAGAAATTGATTTATGTTAATACTATTAAAATCGATAAGTTATGAAAATAAAAGAATATATTTGAAATATCCCAATCAATGGAGAGTCGGATTTCTGACTTTCCAAGGTTTAGTGTAATTCGTTTCTTCAGAGAACAAATAAATACCTAAATTAAATTAATACAAGTTTAAATAGTGAAGAGTAACAAAGCAGAATATTTAATGTAAACTACAGAAACTGAATTTTCTACCCACTAGGATATTACAAATATATTATTTTATTATCACAAACAATCCACCCAGTGCTAAATTTACTTGAGATTATCAAGTCAAACCTTGGTAATGAAATTTATAGATACAATTCTAAACATAAATCGCAGAGCTGTTGCAGATATGATATTGAAGTATTTTGTACAGATTAAACTTTTTTTAGCAAAAGTCAGGATTTCATGAGGACTATCCAGAACCTAATTCATCTCGGTTATGCTTCACCATAGCAGTAAAGTAAAAATGTAGTGCCAATCTACGAGGTCTTTCGATTTTCTATTTGCAAGTAATCCTTCGTATTTTAAGTAGTATTGGAAGATATTTACTTTTTATTTGTTTGTATCTTACGTGATGAGTTTGATTAACATATTACCGCATAACCAATTATGATAATAAAATTTTTACACGATTTCAACTGTGAAAATACTAAATTCTCCACAAAACCCCCTCTGATCTATAATAAAATTTGATTGTGATGATTACTCAAGAGCTATCATTGTAGGATGTATGTTCAGAGATCCATGATTGGTTACTATTTCGCTTTATTTATTGATAATCACCTCATTGAAACTTAAGGCGTTTAGCACCCTGGCTATCACAGGTTTACTCATTGGTGAGCTTGACAAAGTCCACAGTCGTTCACTTATGAAGTATTCCTTCAGATAAATGTATTTGTTTACATTAAATAAGGACAGTGTAGTGATTTGAACACCTTTTATTCAATCATCACATACGTTTATCTGGGTATTTTCTTTGAATGTTGTGGTGTTCTGATGCAATTTAAATAAATATAAACAATTACATGACAAAAAACAAAACTAATGCTTCTAAGTCCTATCAAAAGCAGTTTACTGAAGTGGTAACTACTTACCGATGCAGCATATTTCCCGTTTGAAGGCTCTGCTACAGTAATCCAACTCCCCTCTTTATAGAATGCCGTATTGTTTTCCTTATCAAGTTCCATAGATGTTGATTTATTTAACGGATCTAATTCTTTATACAATACATGAGAAGCATCACTGCGCGCCCCATCACTAACCCAACTAGAAGAAATTGGTATATTTGACTCATCAAAATGCGAAGAAAGTGACGAGCGAGACATAGCATCGTCGAAGACAAGAGGTGAATGACTGTGACTCAAGGCCTGGAGCCAAAACAGTAAAATGAGGTCAGATGACGATAATTCAGTTTTTTAATAAAAAAAACAAGTTTATGGTGAATATAAACCAAGAACATACCCATGACATGTACTCATTGATCATATTTCGTGGTTCTTTGATTCTAAAACAAGAAAATCAATTTAAAGACTCCTAACTTACGGTTTTACACTCCTGTACTTCTCCTTAGAAATAAAAAATGAGTTGGTTGAATTATGGGCCATAGACATTACTCACCTTTCCAATTAAGCAATCAAACTAGAGAGGAAATTATGAAAATAATGTGGAATGAGTACCTCGGCAGAGGATTTTCTACTTTGTCCAAGATGACTGTAGCATCTGTAAGTGACAATATTTTGAAAACTAAATTTACAACCTACTGACTAAACAACTTCTTTCCAGCAAAAATACAATTCCCCATTGTGTTTTGTAGTAGGTTACTGGTATAGTAATAGGTAAATGACTAGCCTGTATTGAATTCTAATGAACAGTAGTTGGAAGTATTCTAAAACAGAATTTGCGAAAACAAATTCAACTAAAATCTGTCTGTTGTTGAGCAACGAGTGCCATTATGAAACCTAAGTACTTCTCCCGGATCTATGGAGAGGTAACCTTATGACTGGAGAGATCAACCTGCAAACAGTAGGTAATAAGTACAAACCGCGCTTCACCCACTTTTATTTAAGAATAGGTTACTTAGTAAGGATGGTAAATCATTTGATGGGGTTGTGAATCTTTATCGACTGAAATGGTTAGGATATGTACTACCTAAACTCATCCACTGACCACCTCGATGCGCAATAATGGCTGGTGCAGGAGTAGGTTAGGAGAAAGTTGGGGACAGTCAAACGAAGACATGGTATTAACACATAACGGCACTGACTGTTGGACTAAGTCGTGTAGGTACATGTAGATCATCTGGTTGGGGTCCACGTGATTACGGTAACCAATTGTTAGAGATGGCGCAGGTACATTCACTTTGAATCGACAACTGTATCTCTGTGCTAATGTGGTATGGCAACTCGAACTGGTGTACGTACGTACGAAGTTCTATGTTGTGACTGACTGACATTCACTCTGTCTCTCCTTAAATGCTAAGGTTCTAGATTCTTCATAATTTTTTTCCTTTTATTTCACTAAATTATATTTTGTCTAATCGTATCTTGTATACCTAGTCTTTTTATTACCACCAATACTGTTACAATCTCTACTACTGTGAACTGATTGAATTTTTTATGGTTAGCTGTTAATAAGGACCGCGTATACCACTTAGATCATATTTACTACTCGAATTATCGATGAATTTAAGGTCACTACAAAGCCACGATAATTCCATTGTTTAAAGAGAGTAACCACATCATTGGGAGATAAAGTCAAAATATTTTCGCATTTGACAAGCACTCAATATACCACATGGCCCAACACAATACATTCAATACCTAATGTTTATTCCAAGTACCAAAGGGTAATACCCTAATCTTATAGACCAGAATATCGGTTGGGTGAAAATTTACAGAACTCTCGGAAGGATATTTCTAATTGAAGTTCCACATAGGAACAAATGACGATCTACTGATGTTTCCAAAACAAACACTTGACTTGATTTTGGACCTAAATGCTAGATAGGATTTTGAGGTATACTAAATTAGTGATGACTATGTCAGAACTTTCTTAAAAAATTCAACTATGGAAGCTTTTGGAGACACGTATATTAGAGATCCAACATTGGGATGACAATTATAGCACCAGCACATGTCTGCCTGTAACTTACGGAACATGCCTAGTAGGTTAACAAATTTTGAGACCCAAGGTAAAACAAGGTCTTTGAGACTGTCTTGAATCTGAGAAGACGATGATACTCCAGCGGCGTTGACACGCACATAATTGTAGGTGCCGTGAACACTGAAGAGACTGTTGACTTTCTTGTTATAAAAATTGTGATTCAAAGGTCCACAAACATCATTTCTGACCAAAATGAAACCTCGTTTCACCCATTGATATTTTAGTTTGTAGTCTAGTATGATTATTTAGCAGTAAAGTGGAGTACAATGCTATTATTAATCCATTTACGTAAAGAAGTGGACACTCAGAATGATTTCACGAAGGTATATGGTTTACTCTGTCAATCTCTTAATCTAAAAGCAATCCAGTTCGAAATGTACCTCAACTTTCTATACTTAACCTGAGTAAACCAGTATAAGGATTGCTATATCAGTTAAGACCATTCAAAGTTGAAAACACCCATTAAACCACATCAAAACTGATTACAAATTAGCGATGAGCGCTATGAAGATGACCGGTAAACATTAATTTGTTTTCCAGAAGATTTAACATGACTTCGACCGCATTACGTAGATAATAGAAACAAGGTATAATTAAACCCATGTTCGATGGATAGAGATTACTTTCTCGGTAGATTTCGAAAGTTTAAGGTCGGAGATAAAATTTGTTGCGTTTTTCGTACACATAGGTTAAGAGGTATTTATAACGGGCCCTGAGGGAGATACAAAAAGTAAATACTAGTCACACAACCACGACTGCCATTTATCAACTACTGTTAAACCTCAAAGTTCCGTCTTGTGAGATTATGAATCGGACCTCATGAGCATAATTCACTAAAGAAACATGACTAATCTCAAGAACAACCGGGAACGAAAATTTATAACCGCTACCACACAAACATCCTTGAGAGTACAAACTTCCCTCTATAGTACTAAAAGTTGGGTTATGTAATTAGTTTTTTCATACTTCAAAGAATCAATAACTCAAAACTTCTTTCACTCCACATTAAGTGTGAATGGACACAAACTTGACGATTCTTCAGTGAAATGCATAAAGAAGCACACTATAACCCACTTCTATTCCAATTCAGATTCGTGTAGTAGGGACAAAAGGCCTTCAGCCTATGTTATTCCTTCTCTAGTATGCTTTTGTGAGTGTCTAGTCTTCTCTTGAATGAATCAATTGAAGGTAAGAACACCACTGAATCTGGTAACAGGTTCCAAGAATTACTGACTCGGTGTGAAAACCTGTATGCCACGGGTATTTTGTTCGTTCTTGGATTTTCTACTCGCCTCCTGTGTCCTCTGAGATGTCCCGATCTAGTGGACGAAAAAGAGGGAATATTAGGCCCAAAATCATTTACTAGTATTCTGTACATCAAAGTCAGATCACCTCTTAATCTGCGACAGTAAAGAGGTCTAACTTTTCCAACCGCTCTTTACATGGTAGACCCCAGAGTTCTGGAATCGCACGTCTAGCTGACCTTTGTACTTTTCCAAGGATACTCGAGTCACCTTCAAAACAGAAGCTTACAGCCTGAACGCAGTTTTCAAGCTTAGTTCTGAATAAGATTGTGTGTACTGTGGTGAACATAATAGTATCTAACTTGGTGAATGTCCATCATAAAGTCCATAGGGTTCCAAACCCCTTAGCTGCAACCTCCCAGCAGTGGACCGTGGTCTAAACATCATGACTCACTGTCTCCCCAAGATCCTTGTGAGACCACACCATGGGTACGGGCACTTCCCCTATGTTGTACCTATTTACCTCTGTATCCCAAAAGTGCATGTAGATACACTTTGCCGCATTGATGGATATCAGCCACTCTTTAGACCAACTAACCACAATATTTAAGTCTACCTGAAGTGCACATACACCCGTGTCTCTCGTTATTTCTCGGCAGATTTTTACATTATCAGCGTATAATAACATTGGGGATTCAACTATACTTGGGCGATCATTTATATGCAGTATAAAAAGTAAAGGGCCTAGGACAGAACTTGCGGTACTCCACTAAGTACTGGTCTCCAGGTGAAGCACTTCGAATTTACTTTTTCTTTCTGTCTACGACCTACTAGGAAATGCTTAAGCCATTTTAGGGGAGGTTCGGCAATGCCAAGATTATCTAGCTTCAATAGCAGTCTATTTGTTGGAACCTTGTCAAACGCTATACTGAAGTCTATGTAGACAACATCCAGTTATTTTCTATTGTCTAGAGCCGTTATTCACTGTTTCCTTGCTATAAGTAGGTTTGTTGTGCAACATAAACCTTTTGTGAAACCATGTTCGCTGTTTAACAGGTTGTTGGTTTTCACAAATGTCATTATGGTCTTTTTGACTATTCTTTCCAGGATTCAGCCACGACACTGGTGAGGCTGACAGGTCTGTAGTTTGATGGAAGTTGCCTTGGCCTTGTTTTTTATAATGGAGTGAGGATAACGTCCTTCCAGCCCGTAGTTAACACACTTTGGTCAAGCGACACTGAATATCACAGTTAGTGGGGCTACAATATATTGTGCAATATGTCTCAGAATTTCCGTGCGTATCTAGTAACGGTGGATCCCTTATGTAGCTAGGTATAATCCTCATATATTTTGGCGACAAAAGAGACAAAATTTTGGTAAATCATAGCAAGATACTGTCCTTATTCTTGAGGAATATGTCACGTTTTCTCTTAGAAGCCTCCTAAGAAGTTGCTTGGACTAGCTTATCCGGCAGCGAATTCCAGCTTCAGAGCCTTAGGTGACGGCGGACGTTCTGTATTTGTATGGCACTGAATGATCCGCCAAATTGTATATCGTGTTGATTTTCTAGTATACGTTCATATAACCGCTGATTAATCTTCGAAACTGTTATGACGTATGGCTAGTAATATATATGAACGTGCAATTGGAGAGGTAGTGGATTTTACTCGGACGCAAATGATGATTGAAATCGTACGAGCAGTCTTGATTGCGTATCGGCCCTGCTATCTGCCTAGCCCAGCCCGTTAAGTCCAGAACACAAATAACAGCCTCAGCAATATGAATCATTATTTACAAACATACTGGGTTTTTATACAAACCAAAGTAATCAATAAACTGATTATAACTCAAGAATCGTATGATAATAAATCAAAGATCAAAATAAAGCTCATGATAAGAGAAAACGAATATGAATAATTTAGTTACGTAACAACTGTACAATAAGAAATAGGCATAATACATTGGTCGATAAATAGTCCTTAGAGTTACCATTCATAATTCACCAGGGGATATAACACCTCCGCTTTTTGAGAAATCCGGAGTTGATATGCGGATTTTAAATTTCTCGAATTCACCCTCCCCCACGAAAGACTGTTGGATCCTCATATAGCCAAGTTATTATCAATGCGATATGTTTGTCACATTTAACAGAGAAAACATTAGAACTGAAGAGATCATGAGGATCGACGACATTTGATTCGAGGTCACCAACATTTGATTCTTCTGAAATAGTTTCCTTGAATTTCCCCGGAACCTCATTAGTAGATAATGAATCATTAGGATAATCAGCATCTATGAGAGTTGTATTGGATTCTTGATTATCATTTAATGCATCTGACATTTCTCTCTCATTTTAATAAGGGAATTCAACAGGAACATATGAATAATCAAAATAATCTAAATCTGGTAGAACAATTACAGAGTGTTGATCATTAGATTCATTAGAAACATTTTGCGTATCATGATTAATTTCATTTGGCGCCTCTGTATTCAATATACTGCTCGATTTGTTTTCCGTTTCTTCATGGGCGGGTACTGCAGCAATTTTAATGGCGCTTAATAAGATATTGTCTCTCTGTGAACTGGACGATTCACTGTTCGCACGTTTTGTTTCAGGGTTAATAAGAATTGGACCGTGTACAGGACACGTCTCTGAAAAAGGTAGTACTGGGCTACTGGGCTGATCATGTATAACTGCTGCGCTTAAATTATTGCTTTGTACGGATTCATTGAGGCTTTCGCCGGCATATTCATTAGTTCTGTAATCGTTTTCCAGCTCTGTACGCAATTTTGAAATTATTGCGTCAACTTCAGTTTCACCCCCAAAGCATGAGTGATTCAGAAGCTTTGCGTGTAACTTGTCAATGAATTCCAATTGACTCTTTCTAACGAGCTGTTCTAGTTGCTGGATTAGCAACTGAAATTGGTTGGAAGTTAGAGCCATTTTTTCACCCGTCGCCAATTGTTATGACGTATAGTAATCGTAATAATATGGACGTGCAATTGGAGAGGAATGTATTTATTGATCGGAGGCAAATGATACTTGAAATCGTACGAGCAGTCTTGGGTGCTATTCGGTCCTTCCTATCTGCCTAGCCCAGCCAGTTGAGTCCAGAACACAAATAACAGCCTCAGCAATATGAATCATTATTTACAAACATACTGGGTTTTTATACAAACCAAAGTAATCAATAAACTGATTATAACTCAAGAATCGTATGATAATAAATCAAAGATCAAAATAAAGCTCATGATAAGAGAAAACGAATATGAATAATTTAGTTACGTAACAACTGTACAATAAGAAATAGGCATAATACATTGGTCGATAAATAGTCCTTAGAGTTACCATTCATAATTCACCAGGGGATATAACACCTCCGCTTTTTGAGAAATCCGGAGTTGATATCCGGATTTTAAATTTCTCGATATCACCCTCCCCCACGAAAGACTGTTGGATCCTCATATAGCCAAGTTATTATCAATGCGATATGTTTGTCACATTTAACAGAGAAAACATTAGAACTGAAGAGATCATGAGGATCGACGACATTTGATTCGAGGTCACCAACATTTGATTCTTCTGAAATAGTTTCCTTGAATTTCCCCGGAACCTCATTAGTAGATAATGAATCATTAGGATAATCAGCATCTATGAGAGTTGTATTGGATTCTTGATTATCATTTAATGCATCTGACATTTCTCTCTCATTTTTATAAGGGAATTCAACAGGAACATATGAATAATCAAAATAATCTAAATCTGGTAGAACAATTACAGAGTGTTGATCATTAGATTCATTAGAAACATTTTGTGTATCATGATTAATTTCATTTGGCGCCTCTGTATTCAATATACTGCTCGATTTGTTTTCCGTTTCTTCATGAGCGGGTACTGCAGCAATTTTAATGGCGCTTAATAAGATATTGTCTCTCTGTGAACTGGACGATTCACTGTTCGCACGTTTTGTTTCAGGGTTAATAAGAATTGGACCGTGTACAGGACACGTCTCTGAAAAAGGTAGTACTGGGCTACTGGGCTGATCATGTATAACTGCTGCGCTTAAATTATTGCTTTGTACGGATTCATTGAGGCTTTCGCCGGCATATTCATTAGTTCTGTAATCGTTTTCCAGCTCTGTACGCAATTTTGAAATTATTGCGTCAACTTCAGTTTCACCCCCAAAGCATGAGTGATTCAGAAGCTTTGCGTGTAACTTGTCAATGAATTCCAATTGACTCTTTCTAACGAGCTGTTCTAGTTGCTGGATTAGCAACTGAAATTGGTTGGAAGTTAGAGCCATTTTTTCACCCGTCGCCAATTGTTATGACGTATAGTAATCGTAATAATATGGACGTGCAATTGGAGAGGAATGTATTTATTGATCGGAGGCAAATGATACTTGAAATCGTACGAGCAGTCTTGGGTGCTATTCGGTCCTTCCTATCTGCCTAGCCCAGCCAGTTGAGTCCAGAACACAAATAACAGCCTCAGCAATATGAATCATTATTTACAAACATACTGGGTTTTTATACAAACCAAAGTAATCAATAAACTGATTATAACTCAAGAATCGTATGATAATAAATCAAAGATCAAAATAAAGCTCATGATAAGAGAAAACGAATATGAATAATTTAGTTACGTAACAACTGTACAATAAGAAATAGGCATAATACA